AGTGAGTGTTGTGGCTGAGGTGTGATTGCTCACACCCTCTGTTTAATCCAGGAATGAAGATTTGGGTGTCACTTCCCATTTGTTGTTGTTGTTCTTGTTTGTTTGTTTGTTTATTTAATTTATTATTTTTTTTAATGTGTGTACCGTCAAATCAGATCTGACTGGTACAGGAGGGCATTGTCCCTCCTTCTTCAGAGCATCTGGTGGATTTGAACCTCACATCTCAGGGATTGCAGTGCAGCTTCTTGCCACTAGGCCACCAGAGCTCGCCTTGTTCTTGTTTTTAAAGTGCCCTCAAGTCATTTGTAACTCCTAGGGACCCCATGTACAATGGCTCTGAACCCTGTCCTATCCTGAGCCAGTCTCACTGATTCTGACACACCAGCCCCCACCCCGCCCTCATTAGCCCAGCTACTGTGTTAATCCATCTCATGTAGGGTCTTCATCTCCTGCGCTGTCCCCCCACCCTCTCAAGCATGATGTCCTTCTCTAAGGACTGGTCCCTTCTGGCAACATTTAGGATACCCTTTTTCTGACGCAAAGAGCTCTTGTGGTACTATGGCTAAAGCAGTAATTTGCCAAGCAAAAAGCTAGTGATTCCAATCCAGCAGCTACTTTGCAGGAAAAAAGCTGTGGCATTTTGATTCCACAAAAATGGACAGCCTTGAAAATCCTGTGGCATCACTATGAGTCAGGAATCCATGGTAATGGGTTTTGTTGGGTGTGTGTGTGTGTGTGTGTGTGTGTGTGTGTGTGTGTAGACAAAGGTAGCAGTTATTCAGAATGGAGCAGAACTCGGCTTCGTGAAGTAGGACCAGAGCCTATTGACATTCACAAGTGAATAAAGCTTTGGGGACTCCACAGTTGTGGACAGGATCAGGAAGGGAAGGACTTCCTCATTGATGAGAATTGCAGAGCAGATGCCCTTGCTGTGCCCCTGCTTCTACTCCTGTGCACAGCCCATCCAGCAGCCTGGCTTGACTGCTGCAGTGGGTGCACACAACACCCAGACCCAGGGTTTAAGAGGAGCTTGGTGCTTAGGGCTCAGGAGACTAGCAAATGCCTTGTCCTTCCCTGCAGGATAATGTGAAGTGGTTGTAAAGGACATATTTCCTGATCATCCTTCTTACTTGGCTTCTGGTTGTATCCTAACACCGTATGAGTTTTTGAACTCACTAGAGAAATTACCAAAATCACAAAAATAATTTAAAGGAATTCTTGAATGCTTGTTGAGACAGTTGTGCCAAAAAGAAATGTCTGAACAATTCAAAATTGGTGAGATTTAGACTCTGTTAAAGAAAATTCCAGAGCAACTTACAGGCTTAATGTTTTCTCAGCCTTTTCATGGTGTTGACCAGAAATCATTCATTTTGTAGTCTAAACACTACTGTTAAAATCTACTACTGAAATGTGCATTATCTGGGAAAGGTTTGGATAAAATTGCCAAATCCTAGTGAATTCAGCTAGATAGCTTAGCTTGCATCTTCCTGCCCTTACCCTTTAGATTGAAAGACTAGAAATAGTAGATGATGATTTTTAAAATTATAATTCATTTTGGAACAAAAATATATTATCTTCTACAAAAGCTGTAGACAAGTTAAAATATGTTATGTTGATGTGTGCTTTTGTTCTGGAGACATAGTTTATAGACAGTTGTGTTACTAATTCAAATACCACCTCTGTAATGCTTAGAATCTGCTAATGGTTCTGCAGGCCAGAGATAGACAGCTTCCTCCTAGTGTTTACAGCCTTGGAAATCTGCTGGAGAGTCAGCTATGAATTGGTTCTGATGAGAGGACAATGAGAGAGAGCAAGAGAAAGAGAGACATTGTGTAAGTGTGTTGCTGCTGTTGTTTTGTGTCCTGAAGATGGAATCAAGCCATAGCTGCTCTTCCTGTGGGTTTTCAGAGGCAATAAATTGCACGCGAGGAGACTGTGGATTCAAACAGCATATCTTTGCTTTGGCAGTACAATTTCTTACCACTAGGCCACCAGAACTCCCTTGTAGAAGTATAGTGGCAATACAAAAAAAAAAAAAAAAAAAAGAAGAAGCAGTACTTAATAACCGGCTTCTATACAAAGATCTGTTTTACCCTGAGAGAGATAAATATGAAATATTTCTATTATGGAGTTCACATTCTAGAAAGAGATAGCTAATCATATGCAATGTCACACTTGCTAGATGTGATGAAACCTTTAGCGCAAGTGGCATTTGAGTTACACTGGATTTGCTGGCATTTGAAAATTGAGTATGAGATAGTGTAATTGAGGGAGAATCAGAAGAGTTTTTTGTGATTCTCAAATAAAATAAATTTGAGAATATCCCTGAGAAATTAGAAATAGTCAGGAGTCATTGAAACATGGACTTGATTTGCAAGATACTGATATAGTTCAAAGGCATACTGGCCTAAAAGAGTGGGTTAGATGTCTTAAGAAGTATTTTGGGGCAATGGTGGGAGCAGAGGTAATTCGTTTAGGAGATAAACACGACTGATTCATATAGAATACATGTGGCAAACTAGCATGGAAATGGAATAGTTTCTAGAATAGCTCTGTACCAGAGTGTGCAGCAATGTAATGCCAAAATAATAAAGTTTGTTCTACCGCAATAAAAGAATCATCAACGAATAATTGGTTATGATGGTCTACCAAAAAGAACAAACAGATATATCTTGGAGAAAATGCAAGCACGCTCATCTTTAGAGAAAAAAAATGGTGAAACTTAGCCTCACTTACTTTGGGCATGTTGTTTGGAGGGGCTAGTCCTTGACAAAACTTGGAGGGTCAGTGAAAGAGAGGAAGACAACCTCCTTCCACCCCCAGTGAGAAGCATTGACATGGTGAATATAACAAAGAGCCTGAGTATAGCCTGGCTAGAATCAAAGCAGGAGGAGGTTCTGTCTAAAGGAAGATGCCAGAGGAGGAGTCAAAATGCTTCCTTCGGTTGCCAATCCTTGCTTACTCTAAGCTATAAGCATACCTGGATGTAGTTGAAGCAGGGTGGAGGTTCTACCTGAAGGAAAACAGTGAAGGAGGAATCTCTGTGAAGAACAATGTGGCATCAAGATTAGAGGAAGCCTGATCAATAATTTCTCATGTGGATGACACAAAGTTGCCTGCTGAAAGTGAGGAAGACTCAAAGAGTTTATTATAGAAGATCAAAGATTACAGCCTTTACTGTGGATTGCATCTCAGCACCAAGAAAGCAAAAATTCTCACCACTGGACTGATAGATAGCATCATGATAGATGAAGAAAAGATTGAAGCTGTCAATGAATCCATTTGTATACTTTGGTATATTTGGTAAATTCAATTCATTGAATTCAGTGACTTCATCTTACTTGGATCCACCATCAGTGCACTTGGTTCCAGCAGTCAGGAGATCAGGAGATGCATTGCACTGGGAAAGTCTACAGTCAAGGACCTCTCCAAATTACTGGTGAGCAATGATAACAGTTTGAGGACTAAGGTGCACCTGATCCAGGCCATGGTCTTTTCAGTCACTTGCTATGCATCTGAGAGCTAGACAGTGGATAAGGATGACTAAAGAAGAATTTATGCCTTTTAACTGTCGTCTTGGAGAAGAGTACTGGGATATCCCATAGAGTGCCAAAAGAAGAGACAGATCTTAGAGAAGGTGCAGCCAGAGTGTTTCTTGGAGGCAAAGATGATAAAACTTTGTCTCACATATTTTGGCCATGATGCTAGGAAGGGCTATTTGGAGAGGGATATCATGGTGGAAAGGTGGGGGAAAGACAGTGAAAGAGAAGAAGACCTTCAACCAGGTGGGTTGACACAGGGACTGCAGCAATGGGCTCAAGCATGCCAGAGATGATAAGTATGGCACAGACTGGGACAAGGTTCAGATCTGCTATTCATAGGGTCCCTATGAGCCCTGCTTGACTCAGTGGCACCTAACAACAGCAGTACAACAGATGAGGAGGATGGCATAGGGCGTTAGTCATACATAGTGTTGCCGTAAGTCATTGTTGACTCAGTGACACCAAACAGGTGTTCCTATAACAAAAAGGCCCATAGATGATTTTGAATTTCTTACAGCTTAGGAGACTAGAAGTCCAAATTCAGGGTGTGGCTCTAGGGGAGTTCTTGCCTTGTCTGTAAACCTCAAGCAGTTGTTATTATCCCTTGATATCAGTTTTCACCAAGTGTGTCTGTGTCTATTCTGTCCCTTTTCTAAGTCAGAATGATTGATTTGGATCTTCCCTACTCTGTTAAGAGCTTATTAACATAGCAAAAGGAAACTTCCTGCTCTCTCAGAGTTCCTGTTTACAGGTACATATTTTTAGGGAATACATTTCCAACAACTTGTTATTTTAAAATTACAAGCCTGAAATCCATTTTCTTTCCATGAAAATCCTGAATTAGAGGGACAGGATGTAGAGAAGGTAGAAAGACCAGTCAGCTCTTGCCACAGAAAAAGAGGAAAATGCAGTTTCTCTGGGCGGCGCAGTTAACTTAGCTGCTGTAACCTAAAGTTTGTAAGTTTGAGTCCCTCTGGACATCTTGAATGGAACTCTGGCGGCCTAGTTGGGTAAGAAGTTGTGCTGCCAACTGAAGATAATTGGTTCAAATCCACCAGATGATCTGTGGGAGAAAGATGGGAATTTTCCTTCCATGTGAATTAGAGCCTCTGAAAACCTGCTGGAGGGTCAACAATGAGTAGGTTCTGACTGGACAGCATGTAACAATGGCAACAGGCATCTTGAAAGATTGTTGATCTGTTTCTGAAAACTTTCTGGAAGGTAGGGAGAGAGGAAGAGTGAATTAATCACTTTTAATTAATGTCATAAAATGTCTGTGAATGACTGAAATGCAATATGATTTGTAAACTTTCAAATAAAAAATTTTTTTGAAGGAGAAAATAATATATATTCAAAAAGAAAACACTCTGGGCAGAAATCTGCTCTGACACGCATAGGTCCCCCCTGAATCAGAGTCCACTGGTGAACAACTGGTTTTCATGACAGGGGTGTGGGAGAATGTATAAAACACGGGAGCCTGAGTTTCTAAAGGTGCATAAAGTCTTAACTAGGTAATTGAATATTTTTCTATTTGAGTGCTATTGGGTAGGAGAAAAAAAAATCCATACATCTCGTAGAAACAATCTATGAGAACAAATATATTTCTGTAGTTACTCTGCTCACTAATTATTTAAGTGTCAGTTGTGGGAGCTGGGAGGTTGAGCTGAGCTCCTAACCATCAGACAAACCCTTTGTCCTAAAGGCTAGCCAGAGTTTCACTCTCTCTGGATTCCCTGGGTTCCGTCTCTGTAATTCATCTCTCAGTGAATGCATTTTCCCCCCTGATGGAACTTGGGCTGCTGATGATTTAGGATGCATTTTTATGTGGTTAAGTAGGGTAATCAGATTAGAAGACTTCTCTGCAGACGAAACTGACATGTAAAATTGGATTTTCCCATCCTTACTATTTGAAATGAGAAATAAAAATCATCTTTTCTCGTTTACTGCCAAGACACTCCCCGTAGAGCAGGTTGTGCATAAAGTAAATGCTGTTTTGGGTGTCTGGTAATCTTTTAATTATGAAATAAAGTCTTTTGATTTTAATCTTCCAAAATGTACAAAACTGATCCAGGAAAGCAGCCATTTAAAAGTTCACATCCTGCAGACTTCTTTAGATGAAAAGCTTCCCCCTCTACCCCGTATTTTGCAAGCTGACATAAAAATATCATTAATCGTGTCTCGGTTCCACCACTGTCTATAAAAGACTCTTCATTTTGGAGTCCATCCGGAGCCATGGAAGTCATATCAACAGAGTCACTTCCTGGGTTCTGGAACCAAGACCTTAGGCCACAGTGTCATAACCAGCGAACAGAGACCTGGGTCCAGACTCATTGACTCATTCTTTGTCATCACATCTTCCTAAACTCATTCTTATCTCTCACCATGCATATAAACATATATGCACACAAGAGAATTTTTAAACTAACACGTATTATTGTTTTTGTTCTGTTGGGGCATCTAAAACAGCTTGTACAATGAAGAGAGAAATCTGCTGCGAATTAGAGAGAAGGAAAGACGCAACCAGGAATCTCACCAAGAGAAAGAAGCATTTCCTGAAAAGATTCCCCTTTTTGGAGAGCCCTACAAGGTACTTAGCTGTATGTTCCAATCTGGATCTCTGATGTGACGAGATCTTGTCTACAAAATCATTTATCCTAAGGATCTCTCAGTGTGCTGAAATCTGACAACATTTTGGTTTGTAATGTCTGTCTGTCTTGTGTAGTAATGAGTCTATCACAGACTCCTCACTAGCAGATTAAAGTTAAAATTACCCCTTAAATGTAATATGCTGAGTATTAATTGGGAGCTCTGGTGTCCAAGTAGATAAAGAGTTAATCAGCCAATGCAACTCAGGCAGTTTGAATCCACTGGCTACTTTTCAAAAGAAAGAGGAACAATCGCCTTTATTCACAGCTTCTGAGTGTCAGCTACAGTTGATTTCAACTCAGTGGCACATAACAGCAATGTATTTGGGGGCTTTAAAGGAATGAGAATAAGTAATGTAGTTTATTAAATGTCAAATATGTTCATTCCCCCCCTTAATTAACTCTTTCTTTCATTTTATTTCAGACAGAAAAAGGTGATGAGTTGTCTAGTCGAATACAGAACATGCTGGGAAATTATGAAGAAGTAAAGGAGTTTCTTAATACCAAGTCCCATCCCCTTCGCTTTGATGCTCCTGAAAACAGGTTGGGAAAGCCAAGATATCCTTTATTTCCTGGAAAGGGGAGCAACATTCCATCCCACTCCTTCCAGACTAGTGTTCACCACCAGCCCATTAACACTCCTGCCTCTGGACCACTTCCTGTTGGTAACATTAGCCACAATCCAGAGACGGCACAGCCAAGAATGGAAACAAGTCTCCATGCCAAAAACTATGGCCCACCGGATAGTCAGCACCTAGCCCAAGATTGCCTGGCTCAAGAAAGGAATAGCTTTAGTGATCACAAGAAAGTTGACTACAGAGCTGATGGAGACCACTGTGCTTCAATGACTAACTCAGCCCTAGAAAGAGAACTTTCTCCTTTACTTGCCTCTTTTCCTTTCCTTCTCCCCCCTTTGTCACCTATACATTCCAGCCAACATGGTCTTCCCAGGACACAAGGAAGCAGCAAGGTTCATAGCAGTAGCCACAGTAAAGGTTACTGCCCAGCCAACTCTCCCAAGGACCTGGCAGTGAAGGTCCACGAGAAAGAGACCCCTCAAGACGGTCTGTTGGCACTTGCCAACCTTGGGGCAGCCCCTCAGCCGTCTTCTCAGACATTTCACCCACCCTCCCTACCTTCAAAAAGTGTTGCGATGCAGCAGAAGCCCACAGCATATGTCTGGCCCATGGATGGTCAAGATCAGGCTCCTAGTGAGTCTCCTGAACTGAAACCACTGCCAGAGGACTACCGTCAACAGACCTTTGAAAAAACAGATTTAAAAGTGCCTGCCAAAGTCAAGCTCACCAAGCTGAAAATGCCTTCTCAGTCAGTTGAGGTGAGTGGAATTTCATATCTTGAGCGAATTCCAGTTTGAACAAAGAAGACAGAGATGGGAATGTCTGGAGAACAGGGTAGAGGCTCGCTGGCTTTTGGATAGGATTTTTAAAAAATTTTTTATTTTATTTTGTGTGTACCGTCAAATCGCATCTGACTGGTACAGGTAGAGATTGTCCCTCCTTCTCCAGCAGAGCATCTGGTGGATTCGAACCACACGCCTTTGGAATTGCAATGCAGCTTCTTCCCACTAGGCAGGATTTTTTGAGGGGATGGGATTAGTATCTTGTTGACTTGTGAAAAAGTTGGGTATGTTAGAGATGGCATTGGATGAAATGCATTTTGAAGAAAGGTTCATAATACTTTCAGTGTGCCATAATTTAGGTACAGTAAACCAGATCTTAAGAGTACCCTCTGATGTGTTTTAAAGAGTGCACACACCTGTGTAGCATGCCCACTAATCAACAGAGATTCTATCACTGGAAAGTTTCAGGAGAGTTTTGAGCTGTCTTTGTTTTCTTGATTTAGGGGAAATTTGGCTTCCTTAACAATGTAAAGGAAATTTTTTTTAATTAACGTTTTCTTAGGTTAGCTCCAGTTTTCACTCATATCTAAAGTATAAGAAAAGTGAAGTAAAAATAAAAGCCTTTTATTTTTGCTTTCTAAAAGATTTGTTCGCTGCAAGATTTGTCATCTGAAAAAGAAGAGTAGATCTAGGGGGACATCTCATTTCAGAGTGATACATACAATGCTGAATGAATGTTATCCTGCTGAGGTTTTTGAAAGTAACCAGAAATGATGAATTATTTCAACCAAAGAAAAATTATAAAATTGAAAACTGGCCGCAGTGTGCTTCATTGAGGTTTTAAATTCACATCATTTACTATCAAACTAAAGGAAGTGTGGAATTGCCTGTTAATAAGTCTGTGAGATCTTACCTGTGTTGGGAAAACATTCTGATTGGTAGATCATTGTCCAGAACTATGTGTCTACTCAGATACCACCTTAGCTAATGCCAGAAGGTAGAATGCCTTAAGGTTAAAAGAAAGCAAAGACTTTCAGGATCCTTAGCTAGAAAGAGAACTCTTATCTTTAAAGAGAAAAACTTGCTTTTTTTGGCTTCAGCATTGAGTTTAGAAGAGGTTAGAGCGGTGTCCTCAGCCCACTCTTGAGTTCTGAATGCTGCTGGGGGTCTTCAGAATGGAACTTGCTTGCAGGTTGTGGAAGAATGAAGAAAGAAGGAGTAAATAAAACAAATGAAAGATTCAGTTAGATGAGCCATTCACTGAATATTTTATGCTGCGAGTGAAGTGTAGGGATAGAGGACTGCAAGGAGGAATAAAAAGGAATACAGTCAGCCTTTTCTTATAATCCAGATAATAGAGCACAGAATGCTTTGCTTATTTTAAAAATAAGATCTGTTGTAGGTTCCTCATTTTAAAAGCAGAAAAGGAACAGCTTAACAAAAACTAAACAAAACATCTAACTAAACTACTGAAAAAAAAACCGGCAAACTGTTTTGGGACAAATTGACAAGTGTTTTTATGTTACCTACCAAGTGCCAAAGATATGCTGAAATGTAGATTTGGTTGCCAGAGTGGTGGTGTTGGGCCCTGTTCCAAGAGAAAGTGAAGAGAACCTGCGTGACTATTTTTCCAGGTTTCTAAAGCCCCACAATTTCTACATTTCAAATATAAATATATTTGAAGACAGTCTCTGCATATTGTCGTAGAAGTGGGCATTTGAAGTGAACAAAACCATCCACAAATCTGATGATTGGAGAAGGGGGCTTACTTGGCACAAATGCGTCTGCCATCAACAGTTGAGGAGATGTACACTTTGGTCTGTTTGAAGTCAGCATGCCTTTTTACTACCCTAACCCCAACCTGTCTCTGTTTGGGGTTCTCTCCTACCAGTGGCAGCTGCAGAGCCACCTGCTTTAGGAGCCCAGTGCTGGTGTTACACAGAAGGATGGACTTGAGGGGCTCGGCAGTTGAAGGTTTTGAAGTGACCTGCATGAGGGAGGATTGGGAGATTAGATTTGGAATGAAGCACTTGTAAATCTGGAAAGCAGGAGTATTCGGGCTGTCTGGCTAGGTTTTGGCTTTAAGTTAGTGTTTTGTTTTGTTTTTAACTTCACATTATTTTTTCATGTCGTTCATACTACCAATTTGGGTATGTGGTTTATGTTTTAACAAAATAGAAGTTGGATTTATAATCTCAAATTTTAGTGCTTCTGCAAAGTCAAGATAAGAATCAAGGGAGCCCCAAAAAGCAGAGAACCAGTCCCAAACCAAGTGTATTTTGAATATAATGGCAGCAGCTGCAGTCCAGTTGCTTATGTATGACTCTTGGCAATTTGATACATGTCAGAGTGACCTGTATTCCATAGGGATTTTTATGTGGATTTTTCACCAGGCTTTCGTTTGAGAGACCTTTGGGTAAACTCTATCCTTTTCATTGGCAGTTAAGTGTGTTAACCATCTGCGCTATCCAAGGACTCAATACTTTGAAAACAGAGTAAAAATATTAGCACTTCCTTATTTTTGAGGTTGAAGCAGAACGATAGAAAATGAATAGCAGAAGTTGACCACCATATGTGTATGCAAATAGTATGCATGCTACACAGTTTTTGCACGGACCTTGCAACTCCCTGTGCACTTAGGTGCGTACTTGCATGAAATAAAACATAATGGTAGTAATAAAGTTAAAAGAAAAGATTTGAAGTTAGTGCATTTTCTTTATTTGATTAAATTTGTTGAAGGCAAGTCAGAAGGGATTTTCTCTTTCCTGGCTCTTGGACTGTGAGGATGGTTGAATTTTGTGGTTGGTTTTACTAACATTTTTTCAAATGAACCAAAATAGGAAAGTTGCCTTGAGTTTGGTGTTTTGTTGTTTTTGTTGGGTTTTTGTGTTTGGTTTTTTTTTTGGTTGATTTTGGGGAGGGCATTTCTTCACCCTTAAGCTGCTTGAGTATGGATCTCTTACACAATTCTATGTCCTTTCACCTCACAGAAAAAAGTTGGCTTGTTATAGTTTAGTTGGTTTTCTAAAACATAATATTCATTCCTGGCACAAGTCCTTCTCACAGTTAAAACTTAGTCTTTTTTTTTCTTTTTGTTAGTATAAAAGAAAACCTTTATTTAAATAAAAACTAAAAATATGTTTATAGCCTCAGAAATCTGATGGAAGAGGGTCACCATGAGTCAGAATTTGTAGTAGGGTTTTTGGTTTTATTTTTCAAGTTTATAAGGTGTTTTCAGTAGAAATCAACTTGATGACAGTGGGTTTGGGTTCAACTTTGTCATCTTTGCTATTATTTTATAAAAATAGTGATCCAAAACTTTTCTTTTCCATTTATAAAACTTAGACTTTCCTAAAATTCTAAAGGAAAAAAAAAATCAAAAGGTCAGTATTCTTACTACATAGTGGTCCGAACCACAAAATTCTGTACTTGGTGTTCTCTGGGAGTTTCAGTTTTAACTCTGTGTCAGATGGAAGATGAATGACAGTGTTGAAGTGCCTGATCTGAAGGCGGGGCTAGGGCTCACTGACCTCTCGGAGTTACCCTCCAGTTTTGCAATTACTATACAGAGAGGCCTAAGAGCTTAAGAGTTGAATTTTCAACATACACTTTTTATCTTCTAAAGAGAAATGGAAGAGAGAAACCATGGCATCTGTGTGTGAATATTCATGCCCATGAATCCCTGGTTTGAGAGAAAGAACCTAGATAAAATTCAAGATGCAGGAATTTTGTAAAGTTCTTCTATTGAAAGGAAGAAATGGAGTAAAGAGAAACAAGCAAAGCAAATGGTATACTGGAAATAGAATATTGGAATTGGCATTTTAAAGCTAAGCTTCTAGTCCTTTCAGTTTGCAACCATGGCCCAGAAAAGTGAGGTTATAGTTAGCAGCAGTGCTAGAACCAGACCTTCCAGTTCTTTAGTCTACTTGATGTCTCATGGCAGCAATAGCAGCCATGATGTTAATGTCAGTAAGATAGACCTTTAACATGAGCTGAGCCTTCTCCAGAGACTGAGCTCATGCAGAGCCTTTCAGGGAATACGCCCACCCACTGCCATTGAGTCAATTCCAACTCATCGTGACCTTCCATTGGGTTTTGGAGGCTGTCAATCTTCAAGGAGAGATTGCCCTTCTTTCTCTCTGGGAACAGTTGGTGGAATGGATCCCTGACCTTTGACTTTGCAGAACACACATGTACTACTTTGCGTGTTTCTCAACTCCAGCCTTTTAGCCTTTCGTTCTTTTTAATGCTCTTTTGTTTATCCTTTCAGCAAAATTGTATTGAATTCTGTTTTATTTAAGGATTCTGTAACAGAAAAAAACACACTGAATGGCCTTAACAGACAGACTTATTTTCTCTCTGTTTAGAAAGCAGGACGTCTTGGGGAAGACTTTCTCTCTGTTGACTCTCTCTTTTTTTTTCTGGATGACCCTGTTTTATTTCAGCATCAGTGGGCCTTTTGTTCTTTAGTGATCTACATATGTTCTTGTCATTAATATTCCCCTAGGTCTAGGAAGTTCTCAGTACAGGATCTCTGGATCCAAATGACCCAAAGGATACTCTGTCTATGGCTCTTTCTTCAGTTTGGGTGGTAGACAGGTTTTCTTTTTACTTTCTTTTTATCTCTTAAAAGATAACAGGTGATGGAGGCCACACTAATAAAACTCCTCTTATATTTCATGGGGCACTGATAGATTAAGGGTATTGTATCCAACGCTAATATTATGACATTGAATTAGAGCTTCCATCTGTATGAGGATGTTTGCATCCCACCCTAATTTTTTTATAACCAGTTGACTAATCATGTCTTGGGGAATGATTGCATCATTATGTAACTGCCAAATTACACACTCTGGTGGGGGACACAGTTCAATCCATGACAGAGCCCTACTATTTTGCAGAAACTGTACAAAGCCCTAGGGATATAGCTATGATCAAACAGGATAAGGTTCCCTCTTTCTTTAAGTCTTTTGCTC